GATAATACCCGCTGTTTCGAAACGCTAATATTTTAACTGGCACACGTATCACGTAGGAACTCTTCAAACATTCGCAAACAGTGCGTGATCGTGGCAAAACCTAACGGCTTTCAGACGCTCTATTGACATCCACCTATTATATGGCATTATCGTTCAGATCGATCTCTATTCATTCCCAAAACATATTTAATCACAGCCCTTATATTCTGTATGAATGTTATTAAACTAATATCTCCGAAAAATTTATTCTTTGGGACCAGCGTTTTACGTAATCATTATCGTCAGGTTGAATGCCGTTGATTAACAGTTAATTACACTGTACGTGGACTTCTGCCCTCTGAATTTGAATCTTATTTGGGATTATAAAGTGAAGCTGATTTGCAAACATGAGGGGCAGCGGTTGATAATTAATCTGGCCAGACGGATTGCTCTACCTACGGAATACAAATCATGGTTGACGCCAACACGATTATTAAGCATTTATATCTTACCACACATAAGGTTTCATTAGGTGAAGTCATTTTTAATACGAGCTAATACGATATGAACGTAGAAAATACGTATTACTGTAGTAATATATAACAGTAATAGATACTTTTTTAATCTACTTTTTTAATGATATAATACAAATCTTTTGTTTTATTGATTAAAAATATAATTATATTTAAACGTAGATTATTGTTTTAATTTCTAAACGTCAGGTTTTGTTTAATATAGTTTCATACAATTTCTAGTTTCAGTTAAGCATAAAGGCTTTACCGTCCACAACAGAATGACATGAAAATTTGAATAAAAGCTCATCTTCCGTAAACTGTTAGTGTACGGGATGTCGCTCAACGAGTTAAATTTTAATGGAAAATTCAAATTGTACAAGGTATTTTGTAATAGAGCTTCCCCGAAAATGTATTTAGAGCGGTTCACACTAGATTATTAATACATAAGATAGAATAAAATTGGTAACTTGTTTTAATTTTAAATGAGAGATATATATCAATTTATAAACTTCACGATGCAAATTGTAATGGATTGCAATAGAGACATTTTTAATTAATATTTATAGAAAAAGGAAATCATATCTAAAAACGTGACAAATATATTGCATGGTATTTGATTTTCAAACACAGTTACGGATTGACCAATTGAAATAAAGTTATATATCCAAATGGTCTATTTAACACAAGTTAAACTGTGAGAAAAGTTGGTGTTACATGCAAATGGAACGAACTGAATTGAATGTAATAGCCGCGTAGGTGACAATTTGTTAGAGCAGAGAGCATTGGTCTTAGCATTTCAAACTTACTTCTTGAATTTGCATTCATAAATATACTGACCAATAATTAAGGGTAATTTTCCGGTTAACTTATATTAATGATAATATAAGAAACAAATGAAACGTATTTATTTTTCATTAAAATGCTTAAAACTAAAATAGAAATGCAAAAGTAACGCGAACTCGGACTCGAATATATTTTTTCTACAATCATAAATACTGTAAACTTTACACGAATGTCATTTGCCAGAAAAGCAATAAATAAACGTGGGTGCAATCATGTCAGTTTGTTTGCGGGTTATAAACGGAGAAATAGGCTTACAGAGGCATTGCCCGGCTTCAAGGCGTAATTAATGGTCTGCGGGGAGACACCGGTGAAATTAGATCAATTCCTGCTCAAAGGGTGGTATTGGTAAACAAAACTAATTAATGGGAGTTGTAGATTAGATCTCAGATTTCCAGCTTTTATTTTCTTTGTATAAATTCCATTATTATTTACTGTCTATTTAGATACTGATATTTTCTTTATAGATTTATATGTAAAAATACATGATGATAAATGCAGTATCGCTAGGAATATTATGATCCAATTTAATTCTCTTTTTTAATACATATTATTTTCAGTACAGCTATATAAAAAATTCTCAAATGAAATTAGGAGACCGCTTTACATTTCTTCCCTCCGAGTATAAAAACAACATTTACATGCGGTTACAATAATAGATTGCAGTAAATTGTTTTCGAGAAAATTCAACAAAAATTTATAGCGCCCGTGGGACGGTATAAATTTCAAACGCAATAAAGCGGTCTAAAACGCTTTCCATAAAAATTCTCTGAATTCAGCACATATTGAGTGATCTTCAGTTTAAGTAGGATGTGATGAAAAGGCTGACCCTTGTATTTAGCTATTGTTTTAAGATGCCACTTCGTTACGCCCCTGTGCTCGAGTTGCCTGATAGCTTTTAATGTTTTTTTGTGAGGACCCTTGTCTAACTGATAATGAGAGGGAGTTTGGTTATATCGTAGTTAGGTTACTGAAATTTATAGCGGTAGAATAACGATTTTCATTAAATGTAATGGCGATGTTAATGGTGGCCATGGATATAAAGAAACACCTGGTACATTATTTGTACATTTAATTATAGGAACTATTTTATTAATATAATTAGTTGGTTACCATTAATGTATATTGATTAAGTATTTGCTAACATACACGTAGTCGAAAATTTTTGTTTAATATTTATTGATAAAATTTCAAAAGCCATATTTTTTTAAAGATTTGCACGAAAAATATACGCACGGAGTTAGGGGCCCACCCTTATCAGAATCCCCTTGTTAATGGAAAAGGAGACATTGTCTCGTCTATATTTTTTTGTATATTCTTCCTATGCCGTGACTATGTGATAAAATGTATTAAGTGATTGTAAATTTTTGGAAGTGTTGTACTAAAATAAATGCTAGTGAGTAAATGAAAATATATGATATTTAAACAAGGCTTTCGACGACTGCTTATTTTTCTTTATGTATAAAGCTTTATTGATGGTTTAAAATAAAAAACGTAGCCGTATCGAAATAATAATTTCGATATTTTTGAATAAATAAATAATTTTGGTATGGCTAAGAAATAAGTATATTTTAAATGTTTAAACTGGCAAGGCATATGTACCTACATATAAAGTTTAACATTTTTTTAAAATGAGGGGAAGCATAATTAATAATTATAAGAAAATAATTATTCCTATCAACTTTAAAATTTATACTTAGAATAATATGATTCCAATCCTGTTATAGTTGTTTGATTAGACAAAATAACCCTGAGAAGCGATCCAAGCCGTTTGTAATGTGGTAAACATACAATGAATTATCAAGCATATGGTACGTAATTCTCACTCTCATCTCTGGTAATCCTTAAATGTACAATAGAACAAAAGCAAGATAACTCAAACAGAGGCATTCTCTATGGATTACGTATTTCCACCTTTGTATCCTTAATCCGAGTTTAAACGTTAATGCAACAGATTTTCTTGTTTTCGTTTATAAAGGTACGTGTCCCGACGTGCCCTCTGGCGGCGGAAAGCTAGGGTGGAGGGCTTAATTGGGAAATAATGCTTGAGTAATTAATCAAAATGTCTATCTGTGTTCACTTCTTGAGTGCTTTACGAGTAGCGCGAAGTGGAGGGAAAATAGCGTAAAATTTATTGGAATATTTCTGTAACCATGAAACGAGTGGAAAAAATGTACATTGAATAATAACTCTTTCATCATTTTTTTTTATTTTTTAGGTTTACATTTTATTTCTCTCTTTGCGAAGTCTATCCAAATCTCTTAAATAAAATACTTTTAACTTCCCAGTTTCTGGTTTCGAATATATCTATTATTATATGGAGTGGGCTTGTTGACGAAGTTGAATGATTGACAAAAAAATTGTGTAAAAAATGTGTAAATGAATTTTGGACTCAACTTATTCCTTTAATGCGAAATTTAGTTATAAAATTGCCATCAATTAGTAGTTACCATAACTAATAAATAATTTAACAATTTTTATTTGCGAACTCATTATTTTGAGCTATAGTTATATGCAGAGAGGGAAAATGAGCGACGTATAAAAAATCACTTGTAATTTTTTAAACATATTGCTGTTATTCGGTTTGTATCTTTTTATGCTTATTATAAATTAATTTCCATTGGGACGTAAGAGTTAAAGGTCTACGGTGGACCTGAAACTGTTCCAGTTCATTTCACATACAATACGATTGGCTCATTGTTGTTAACTCAAAGGTAAATTGAAAAGGTTCTTTAGTATGTTTCCTGTTTTCCCTTTCAAAACTTCCATTTGAACAAATTGCTTCAGTTGATGTTTGAGTTGATTTAGGTCAAGATTTAAATAATTTATTTGTTCAGAGGTTTAAGGACTGACGTTCTGGTCTCTAAAACTAAGTCTCTTAAATGTTGACATTTAATATTTCCCTTATTGGGATTCCCAAAATGTTATTTGAATAGATGTTAGAAAACAAAACGGCTAATTGAGCGTTATTGATAATGAAAGTTCTCGGTTTTATAATTAGTGTCTTCGCCACGTCTAAGAAATACAACACCCTTTAATTTGTACTTAATTAATAACAACCACAAACAAAACCGCTTATTTGCTACACTGACACTATTATAAATGGATTCAAAAGCCTTGTTACGAACCAGAATGAGAGTAATTGGTAATTCAAAACCGCGTGGGGATCAGTAGTGACGTTCCCGTTATGAAGCGTACAAATTTTCCTCAAACCCTTTAATCCACCGCTTGCTTATTTCAATTGTACGGAACACATTGCACTTGACGTACCTTAAATGTACTGCCACAAGGGTGAAATTGCAAGGTTTTTGTTATAACTGCACGTAGTTCTTACCCCCTTTGGCGAAATTGTCCACAGGCTACAAGCCTCCCCTTTGATGTAATTTCGTTGCCTGAATACACTTCGTTGTCAGCCATTGATGGTGTATTTATTTTTTTTAACATCACTTAAATATTACATATAAATACAATAACAGTGTTCCCGAATCCTAGAATATTGTTGAATTAAAGTCTACTTTTTGTTGACTTGTACAATATAATTTTAAATTATATAACTATCTTATTTCACTATTACATTTTATATAGATACTGTAGTTACTGAAATGTGCGTCGTGAAAATCCAACGTATAAAATATCCCCATCTATAAAGCGTACGTTTCATATAAAATGCAACGAGCACAGTTTGTTGGGAAAAACTCCAGGATAAGGAAGGGTCTCCGTACGCTTGCTGCATACCAAAAATGTGGTAAAAAATTCCATAGGTCTGCCATGAAAGAAGAAGCGAGCAACGCCATAGAAATAAGGTTTGATTTAGAAAATCAAGAAAAAACTTTATCGACACGTGTACCAGATTATATTTGAGTTGTATGACAGACATGTATTGTGTTATAATAAAAATCCATCTCTCATACTGATGTATTACAAGTCGTGCAATGATGTGATGGCTCGGGTTTACAATATTAATCCGTGTTTGTTGACTGTCATCACTGTATATAAAACAACAATATAAAAATAATCATCGTGTTATTTTATCGTTACTTTTGGGTTGCCTTCGATTATATTTACATAAATTAACTTGTTGGCTACGTACCACCTTGTTTTCCTTTCTGTTTATTTAATGTATTAAATTTTTTATGCGTAAAATATGAAGAATCTACTATAAGTAACATGAGACAAGAAAATTGAGTTGCTTGTATTCTATTAAAGCATAATCTTTGCTATAAAGAATATACATAAAACTCGCTACTAAAAGAAGCATTCGCTTTACCATTTCTTGTTGCGGCATAAAATATTACCAAGAAACAAGCTTACTCTATAATATTAGCATTATATAACCTCGTATATACATATCTCTCAGGAATAAAGTTTTAATACTTTATTTACATTATTTATATCAAAATATTCCTTTTATCCACTACTCGTATTTCAGAATGAAATAAACCTTACATAAATGAATACAATATTTAGCTGAATATAGTGTTAACAAATTTTATCGTATATTTTATTTTAATTAACACTAAAACTATTTGAAAACTAATTCGCGTATATACAATGGAAACAAATAAGAGCATTCGTCACGTACCTCCGAATAAATTGTTAACTTAATTAAAGAGTACCCCACGCTGGTCGTTGCCCCATTCCGTCTTACGGAATCTAATATTTTATAAAAAGGAATTGTATTTGAGTATAAACTATTCACGGCTATTTTCATTATATTAACTGTATTTCTCTTATTAAGTAGCGAAGAGATGAAATGTACAAGCTAAAATGATGTCAGTGTTATTATTTATATGAAGAATTAACTATATTAAAACACAAATGAGAAGGGATAATGTTCATCAATAAAGTATAGATGCTAGTGATTTTAATATTTGTTCCGAAATTTTAAAGTGTGTTTATCTAATCGAAACGTTAGAAAAAATAGAAAAGTTCAAAGCTAAAGAAACAAAAATCGTCTCTGAATAAATTGAGTCAAAAGTAAAACTACATATATTAATGTTTTAAATGTACTCAGTAAGATATACATAAATCACTGTTATCAGTATTTAATTTTTTTTACTGTTTTATTTCTGCCCATAGGATGTTCGTCGCAGACTCTCAGAATATTTCCAATGCAAAAGCAGCAGACTGTGGCTGTTGGCAAGTCAGTAGTGCTAACATGCCAGGCCGACGCTCCAGACCCCGCTCTTGTCACACAACCACAGTGGAGGGACCCTAAAGGATTGATTATTAACGAGGCTGCGTGAGTGTTTTAAATATATATACACACAAACATACATTTTATAATATCTATTGAGCAATTTACTGGGCCATGTTACAAAGTTATACTTGGAACGCCATTGTATAAATTTTAAATTTTATGTTAAAAAAATTGTAAGTTAATAAAAGAAAAAAAAAATCCACGTCAAATGATCTGTTCATTATCATGTGACAAATACATTAAAGTCTTACTTGAAGTTAATCCGTGGAAATATTTGTGGTATTAGTATAAGTGTTATTTAAATAATTTTTTGAACAGAGCTGGGACACGACCTGAAATTTATACAGAACCAATGCCGGCAAAACAGCTTCAATTGCTATACATATCCTCGATAACTACTGCAATGGCGGGCAATTACACCTGCGAAGCTACATACACCAATATGCCTCTCAGCGCGAGCGTTGTTTTGGACACTTTCGGTATTATTTTAGCATATCAATTATCAATTTGAATAAAAGATTGTATCGTTCAATAAAATTTAAGTTGTTATACTGAATTATCTTGAATTTCAGTCGCGATCACATGGAATAATGCTAATGAGAACCAATATGCGACCAAGGGTAAAGATTTTAAAGTCATGTGTGAAGTTACTGCTGAACCAGCTCCATCAGTAGATTGGTTTAAAGAAGGCACTCCTGTAAGTTAAATAATATGAAAAAAATAATAATTTTTCTTTAAGAACATTCTAGAACGTTATAGAACATTAAATTTATTTTTTAGATTATGACTGGCGATCGATATGTCATTCATGCAAATGGGTTGTTGATTAAAAGTGTTGAAGAAAGCGACGATGGGACGTACACTTGTCGCGCTGTTGTTATTCAAACTGGAGAGTTAGCAGAGAGAAATATTAAACTTGAGGTATGGAATGAAATAAAAAAGAAATATATAAAAATATTGTATATATAAAGTAATAACATTAAAAGTCAAGAATATGTGTAAAATTTATACTTCAATTTTAGGTGTACACAGCTCCTGAAATGGAAGAAAGAGAACATAGAGTTGAAATCAAAGAAGGTGAATCTGCCGCTATTACTTGCAAAGCGAGAGGAAAACCTCCACCGACTTATTCCTGGATTAAGGCTTCCACTCGCGAGGTGAGATTTAATGAAGAATTTAATCATATCTTTTACATATAACGCTGTTATAATTTAATAATTAATTATTTTTCAGAATTTGGCAACAACTTCCCGTTTCAGCGTCAACGAAAATACTGGATTGTTAACTTTCGATAGAGTAGAAGCTGGTGATTATGGCAAATATATCTGTAGCGCTGTAAACCAAGCTGGTCACAATGAAACAGAAATCGAAGTAGAAGTGCTCGTGAAACCGAAAATATTCGAATTACTGAATACAACAGCTGCTGAGAATACTGAGGGAAGATTAGAGTGCAAGGCATCGGGACGGCCGGCTCCTCGTATAAGTTTTAGAAAACTTAGCAGCAATGATAGATTTTTGAATGGACCTAACGATGATGGAAGGTAAGAACATTAACATACATTTTATATGGAAAGAAAAAACTCCTAATTTTTCGTTGAAATCGTTGTAATGTATTGGTTTTAACATTTTTGTCTTTTAAAGGATAACCATCGAAACCAGCAGTCGTCAGACGGGTGATCAAATGCAATCAACTGCTTTGATGTCAATTTCGCGGCTCAACAGAACTGATGATGGACTTTATGAATGCGTTGCTGAAAACGAAGGTCAGTAAATATATTGGTGGACTTTAAATACACTGGATATTCGTTCGAAAAATAATAACTTTGTATTTTAGGCGGAGAAGCAAGGAAAAATGGCCATCTCACAGTTCAATTCAGACCATCACTGGCCCATATGTCAAATGTACCAATTTGGAGTTGGAATGCACAACCCGTTAATATAAGTTGTATTGCAGAAAGTATACCCAATGCTACTATCAAATGGAAGTGAGTATATCAAAGTCGAGTTACAGTTTTCTTTACTATGTCATATCTAACATGCGTTACTTGTTCTAGATTCCACGATTATGATCTTGTTGAATCGCCTCACGTCAAGATTTACGGTTCAGGGCCTATCAGTTATGTGACTATAACACCAATTGACAAAAGCCTATATGGTGTATATAAATGTATTGCCACAAATACTCTAGGTGAAGCAGAACATCCCATACATTTCAGAGAAGCATTTGCACCCGGAATCGTCACACAGGTTTACAGAATCTTATTTTTTTATATGAAATCGTCATTATTCATATTTTTATTAGAACTTACAATATAAATATAAGGGTATATATGGATTATCTTATATATTTGTGTTTCATCGGATTTATTAACAGGCGAGACAAGAAACAATAACCGCGACATCGGTTTCATTCAATATCGTTGGCCCGGCCGAAGAAATGGGACCGCCAATATCGGCTTACACGACCCAATACAAAGAAAACGGAAATTTCGATTGGAATTACGCGATGAATCGAACGTGGTCCGTCAATTCACCGTATATCGTTGAGAATTTGAAACCTATGTTTACATACGACTTTAGATTCGCGGCTGTTAACCAAGTCGGTGTTGGCCAATGGGGTTCTCCCATTACAGTTATCATGCCGAGAAGGTAAAATACTGAACATGGACTTTAAAAATACCTTATATTAACAAAGAAACTCATATATTATGATATACTTTATATTCATTTAGATCACCACCGGAACAACCAAAGTGGAGGGAGGCGATAAGTTCGGAATCATTAATCCATGGCAAATACGCTGACAAATATGAATTGCAATGGCGTGTACCTGCCCATAATGGAGAGCCGATTGATATGTATGAGATTAGTTATTGCCCGGTAAGTTTGAAACTATAGTATCAAAAACATTTATATATTTTAAGATACATATAACTAAAAATCTATTCTTTATACCCAGGTTCTTAAAGTGAGCGGTGAATGGCGTGTTTCTGACGAATCTAACTGCGTTACTGAGGAATTGAAGTCCTATGACGCAATAAGTTACGAGATCCGCAACCTCCGCCCGGACACTCGTTACAGAATGCACGTCCGCGCTCACAACGTCCTCGGTTATTCCGTACCGGCTCAGCTTTACGTTCAAACCGCTCTCGGTGAGTACGATAACACGCTACGCGCCGGTTTCTACGACGTTTACACCGCACCAGAACCGCACTCGTCTGCGTGCAGATACAAACCATACATTTTAATATCAATCATCCTATGTTCATTGTTTTATTTTTAGATTTTTATGTATATTTTATTCACAATTTTGTGTTTATGTACATTGATTGAATAGGTATTTTTTTCAACCTCAACCTCAACTGTGCATGCACTAAAATCGGATTATTATGCGTGACGATTTATACGGTTTATTTTAATTCATTTTATCAAGAGTTCCTTGATTTGTATTAATAAATCACCAATGTTTGTTTTATGTAATTACATATTGGATAGTCATTATATTAATTCATAAACCGTTGGTTTAACACAACATCAAAATCACATTCCTTTAAGAAGAGACCAACCTTTTATTATAATTTTTATCATCCTTTGTTCATACACTTAGGTTTAAAAAAAAACCTTTGTTTGATTTATGTTACTTTATCCATTAGTCATTAAATGGTTTTCTTAACACCCTACGATTGGTTTCAAATAATATAAGAGCATATACTAATGTACACACACAATAACATTCATTTACGCGAAGAATTAAACCGTTCGTCTTAATTTTGCTTCTCGTGTTTGTGTGATTTATTTTTAGACTTATGTTGTATGTTAATTTACATTTATATAGTTTTTTATTTTCTAATATCCATTCATTGTATCTTTTTAGTTTCTTTTATGTTGTATTTAATTGAAATTTTAGTTTTTTTTATATAATGTAACAGTTATGGAGTCTTGCCTGAATAAATTAATTTTATGAATGGTCACCATTTTGTGTTATGGCAGTAACTTCGAGTAATCTTTATTTTATTTTTAATATGTTTTTTTACTTTAATTAGTTCTTTTAATTCACAATTGACTATGTTTTTATCTGTTCAAATCAAATATTTTTTAGGTGTAAGTCTTTCTGTTTATTTCTCTCGCATGTATTATGTACCATCTATAATTTTGTCTTCTATTCATCGGCTAAACATATAGTTTCGAAAAAACCATTTATCTTGAGTTCGAGTTATTTAATTTTAATGGTAAGTTTCATTGCTTATAATTTTATTACTTTTCATTTATAAATGTAGATAAATAACTATTGTATGATATTTATATACGCTATGTCATTATGAATATTTATGCATTTAAATATATTTTTAGGTAACCCAAGTGGAAGTACAAGTATTTACAAATACGCTCGCACTAATATGGACGTCTTTATAACACTAGTTGCATTATATGTCTATATATAAATTTGTCATAATAGAAATAATAATCAATTAAAAAAATTAATAAGTCCAAAGATGACTGTTATTTAGGGATTTATGTGATAATATTTGTTGATGTATCGATAGGTATAACTTCGACATAAAAAAGTCATCATAAAATGATATAAACTCCTAACTACATAATTTAGATAATATGAATTTCAATATCAATAAAATTCCCATTAGATTAGACTAATTACATTATGGTGTTAAATTTAAAATATAACGAATTGGCAAATGAATATACACTGCCAGGAACTAAGATTTTACGTTGTTATATAATAAGTTTATCTCGTGGTAGAATAAGGTTTGTGTACGAATTTTTGATGACTGTTTTATTCGTTTATAGTGTCTTGCTAAATAATTTTTATGTAAAACTAAATAATGTCCAGTGAAGCTATTGAACGAGAACGGTTGATAATGTAATTGCCGACCTGTCAAGAGAATTTAAAATATAAACTGTAGCTAGTTAGAAATTCTTAAGTGTCAAATTTTAATTGTGACGAGGGAGGAATGACCAATGTGGAAAAAAAAATAAATATTGGTAAAATAAAGTTATTTTGTGATTTCAATTTTATTAATAGAATATACGAAGCTGTATCTTAATTATCTGTTAATAATTTATTATGTAACATATCTAAATTATTAGATCAGTTTCGTAAATTTTATTACCTTACCTTAAAATATTTTTTATGCTTTAACAACGAGAAATGTCTTTATCATATATCCCATTAAGAAAACTGTCAAGATGCTTATCAAGACTCCCTTAATTCCCTTTGAATGATTTTGACAAGTGTGTTTGTTCCCTGATCGAATATGGGTAAATATATTTTTATTAATAATAATAATGTTATATAGAATAATCCTGCTATATCCTTTGGAATGAACTAATTACTTGCATGTCCTTCTCGATGCTAGATATGTGTTCCCTATTCACTGATAATGTTCAACTTATACCATTAGCATGGTCTCGACATATTATACAATATTCCTAATAAAATACACATTACATTAGAAAGTCCCTCTAGTTTAGTCGTGTTTAGTTCAATTAATACATATATTTCATTGTTTAGTAGATTTTTTTTATATAAATTGTTTAATTATTTTTATATATCCTTGGCATGAATAGTGCTATTTTGGTGTTAAATGAATACTTGTTATAGGACTAAGGGTTTATTAGGTTTACGGATAAATTTTGGAGTAATTTTAAGTAGCGCTAATGACGATTATTTGTAGTTTGAACTTTTGTTTAGGAAGTATCGGAATAACGGTATTTAGATCAAATATCGTGAAGTTATGCTATTCAAACTGCAAGTAATAAAACCCAGATATGTTCTCCGTAGAAATAAGATTCCAAATGTTTAAAACGGTGATGGTTGTATGTCCATCGGATCTATTATATATATTATATCGTCATATTTACCTAGATCGCCACATACGCTTATTATGAATACAGATTATTGTTATGGGGTTTGAAAAGTTTATGTTGCGTCTATACAAAATTATTTGGAATGTTTGCATCTTGACAGCTTTTCTCTCTCTTACTTTATTGTTAACTATAAGATTTGAGTTTATGCATCATTACTTCCGCTGCCAACATTCTATACCATTTCATTTCCATTCAAACCCCATTTCATTCAGATGGAGGGCTTTCATATTAAACAAATTTATTTAGATTAAGTCCTTGTTTTGTATTCTGCAAAAATTTCTTTGGTGATTGGGTGCACGATTATGTTATTCTGAAAGCACTCCTATACCACCAATATCGATTGTAATAAATGTTTCTAACAATTTATTCAAAATTTATAAAAAAAATCCTGTCACAGAATTTAACACTATAAGCACTTGCAACGCATTTGTTACAATCTGTCATCTCTTAACATTCAGCTTCTTCGATATGATGCATAAAACTAATTGTCAAGAGCGGTCAATTATGATGTTTCCAAAAATATATATAAATTAATAATCACTTACATATAACATCTTAATTTACTGCTCTTTTTAATTTTTTTCCTTAAATAGTATTTGAAATATTAACTTTTCAACAGGTGTGGAACGTTCTGGATTTGCGCCACCCAAACTACTTTCAAGCGGAGCTATAATAGGAGTGGCTTTGGCTGGCGTTTTGATTTGCCTCATCATTGTGGACCTTCTACTGCTTTGCTTCCGACGACAGGGGGTTATTGCGACAATATGTGGCAAACGAGTTAAGAAACATTCGGACGACGAAGCTAAGCTGGGAAGGTATTTATATTTGTCTAATACCATAATTTGTCGACAGTGATAGTTTTTTTTTTACATATATATGCATTATCAAGTCCTCGATCATCGACATCCCATTTCGTTGGACCACCTCTCCTTAAACCTATGTTCCGTATAAAGACTGTCGATGAGAGATGTTTCTGCTCGCTAGTCTGTACGGTTGGCGCTTCCCGCTCCCTTATTGCAGCACGAAGCCGCGTTCGCCGCCTTCCCCCGCGCCCCTGCCGCCGCCGGTCAAGCTCGTGTCAACACCTACGTAAGGCAAAGCATGTTGTGTGATGCTTGGTCTGGCCTTGTATAGTAGGTTGATAGGGATGCTATGGAAATACGTTTTATACGTAATTGCAAGCGAAATTGAATGGAATAGAAATTAATTTAATACACTCGGCCCATTTTATGATTTGTTTATTTCGTTTTACGCCATTCGAAGCGGTAACGCTCAAGTTGATTAATTAATTCAAGTCGTCGACAATTAAGAGGTATTGCTAACTAATTATAATAACTAATGATAAAAACGCTATTACTCAAAATTTCTTAACAGTATTTTTATTGGAATATAATTTTTAATTCAATAATCGTGTCTTATGGCCAAAACTCATTCCTACTGATTTCACTAAATTGTTTCAATAACTTTACATACCTATTTTTTTGCATAGTAAAACTAATTATAGGACACAGTACATAAAATTGTACCTTTATACCGTAATGGAATCAATAAATTATTATTTTTAATATCCGCATCTGATATTGATATTCATAGCATCCCTAGTTAAAATGGCCAATATAAAAATGGTTGAAGAACGCTTACGCTGGATAGGCAATGTAAATAAGTTCAGCGATAAGCTTGAAGCTGCTTCTGTAAATAAAGCAATTGATTTGATTTTGTACATCTTGTAGTTTAGATGAAATTTATTATTTAGAAAATAGTTCATTAAAATAGAAATAAATATTTTTGCTAAATATTAAACGTTGTTAATTTTAAAGCTTTGTCTTTGTAATATGTTGATTTATACGAAAATCTTTTGAGTTTTCTATGGAACATCTCTTACGACGTACTAAAAGTGTTATATTAACATATATCCCAATACTTAATTTTTGTTTGTTCCCCTTTGTATTTGTATATATAAGTGTATATAATATGTATAACAAATAATTCTCTTTGCACTCATACTAATAAACATATGTATTGTTTTCCTCACGCTGCCTTCAACCGGTCACTTGTAGTTATATCCCAACTACTCCAGTGTAAGAAAACCAAAGATATTATTGTGTTTGGAAAACGAAATTACGCTTTATTATTATTTAACTGCTTATTACATAGCTTATACCATGATTTAAATCTCGTTGTACAAATTTTGTATGCATAGATTAGATAGCTATTTACAAAAGCGAACTTGTACACTATTGGTGATTGAATTTGAGTATGTCATTAGTGGGTAAGTAAAAATTCTATTTGTTATTCACAGAGATGAAAAGGAACCTCTTAAAGAGACTGGAGAAGACGCCATCAAAAGAAATTCGTCGGTAGAATTCGATGGACGTAGAGTATACGCTACCAGTGGAACCATTATTGGTAAAAACTCCGCTGTTTAAAGAAGTTTCTCGAATCATTTTCGAAGTTATACTTAATAATACAGAATAATATTTTTATTCTTGAATGCGAAGGTAATACGAGTATGTGCTTGTGTATTTGTGATATGCGATCAGTATTCGTAAACGCCAAATGACGAAACTATATCCTTTTATAATTTAGTGCGTATCGGCTTGTCGCGTCTTGCTATTATTAAAATTAATGAATAAATTATGAAAAGTGTAATACTAGAGTTAAAAATAAAACATTTTTAAAAACAATCATTGAAATATTAATTAAATATGTCGATATACTTAAAAATCTCTTTCGAAAAGTTATGAATCGTGATTTCAGAAGATTTAAGGTTCTTTCATGAGGGTATAGAATAGATTGTATATATCATTTATAGCATAGTCACAAATATATAGAAGTTTTAAGTCACACCAGTCATTTCGTCTGTAGTTTTTTAGCTACGACACTTAAATCATGTATTGATTAATTTACTTTAAGGTATTTTAAGTTTTTTTTAATCTTCATATAATATTTTTTAAATAAAATATTTAGCGATATAATTACAGTACGTTTTAGTTAAAAAGTTATAGACGCTTAATTTAATGTTTTAACGAGAACAAATATCTCATATATGCTTGGTTTAAGATAATAATTATTACATACATATGCACTTATTCATATTTATAAACGATGTAAATAATTTATATTTTTGTAAATAATTCATTGTACTTTAGTTCGCAGACATGCATTTGTTAGATGCTTTAGATATAAAGAATATTTAACAAGATCTCTTCAATTTTCTTAATGTTTTTTTTTAGGTATATATAATTTAATGTAAGCTATATTAAATGAACACCTCCAAGAGAACAGCGGTTACTTTGTGTATAAAATATTTTAACCATCAAATAGTACCATAGATAGTTTCAAATTTCATTATGGTAACTCCAATATCACTCGCTTTCAGCCTGCCAAAATATACCGCGGGATTAGTGGGCTGATAAAATATAAGACTTAATGTATGCATTATCGATAGTTTTGCTACAAAGTGAAGTAATCATTAATAGAAGATGGTTTTCTGTTACTCAATCTGTATGTTTTGTATGTCTCTATCGATATTTTTTTGTATAATGTAAGTTGTTTCGTGTTAATGTCAAATCATGGATGTACTTATTGTATTACTTATGTGTCTCATAAAATTTGATTTACATTTTACTATATATATATACATCTGAAAATTCACTACTTAATTAAGTGATATATATACATAAACTTTTTTACACTGACTCTATCAGACCATGAAGTTTTTTGGACACTATATAATATATATATATATAAATCATGCTTTATAGTTATATTCTCGTAATGTATGCTTGAGATTACAAAAGATTGTAAGGCGCATTTTATAAAATAAATGTCTTTTGATATAAAATATACATTATTTTATTTTAATCCCACGAGTTCCCACGGCCTGTTGAAACAGTAGTCGCAATGAAGTAAGTACTACTGATGCGACCAACTCCCATTTGCAGTAAAAGTTAAATACAGCAAATGCACGTTTTTTATGTAGGTTTATTAAAGCTTTTCGCACGATTAATTACACATTATATAAAATAACAGTTTGTTATTTTTTTATTATTATTTGAAACAAAAAGTTTAGGGATATTTTATACATACTTAGTTAATTTTAATTTCAATATTTTTTGTGTAAAGAAGATCATTTTTAATACCTTTATGTTTTATAATCCGTTATGTCTTAAAAGTTATCAAGTTTAGAATTTATTCATTGAGGTTTACAACAAAAGTTTGCCACAAATTATTTACGTCTAATATAGTTTTGAAGCGGCAGTACACAATAAAAACATCGATTTATACTCGTTAGCTGAACAAAAAGCTATACAATGTACTCTTTTTAATCGCGGCTCCTATTGCATTCTAATCTCTTAGGGGCTGCGCGTGAGCAGACGGGCCCGTATTAGTAACAATAGCGCATTGTTGGGCAACAACACTTACTCACTTAATGACATTAGTGATGTACTATTAACTATATCGATAAAAAGTATATCACAAATTACATAAGCAACTAAACCTACCTATATATAATAAAACTATATATTAAAGTAAGTATAATGATTCCTAGTCTCCTTTACAGGTGCACATGTAAAATAAAACTGTATTTTCAGATTCAACATTTTATATTTGAAACTTTCGTCTACTTTTCATGAATACGGTGCCAAAAAATTTAAATGGTAAGTTCAAAACGAAAATGTAATAATAAGCGCGAGTTAAATCTGGAAATATATATTTTTATTTTGATCGTAACAATATTTCCGTAACTGTATGATGGTGATAGTTGAAATATGAATAATTAATTCTATCGATATTCAAAGCAATCGTAGCTTATAAATTCTGCATCACTTGTCACACGAATAGGGTAGTCAATCGCTGCGGTTTAATATATTTCGGGAGTCGGACAACACACCCCTACGTAATTTATATTTTTCACTACGAACTACGTGCCATATCTCATGGTTAGCGTGAAAAATGATGAAACTGTTATGAAACTAAAACACGTTACCACACATGTAGATTGAATAAAGAGATAGATTTTAACGGAATTTCGTTTTCTAAAACCATTATTCTGTCAACCAGAAATATTGTCTGTTGTAGAATTAATTGGTGCCCCATAATTTATAGCTGAAATTTTTCTTTATGTATAGGTTCAAATGAAAAGGAGTAATAGCAAACTGAAAATATCATTCAGTGTATCCAAAAGAATTGTTTATAAATATTAATAGAATATTTAAGGAAACTGATTGTTTTTATTGAGTGTTAACAATGACATCTCTATTTTTTCGTTAAAATAAAGTTTAATAATAAGCTGGATTCCACTTCGGTTCGATATTAAAGTAGAATAAAATATTTCAACAGCTTGTTTTGAAACTTGCCCAAACTAATTCTGTACTACCGACCCTTATTGGTTATGGTGCCCAACAATTAGGGTTCGACACGCGCATGAGATTACGTCTGCTCCCTTTTAAATAATTACCTTGAAGCAGATGACAGGGATTACTGCGCCCTTTAATATACTATGAAATAAAATGTGGATAATATACGATCAAACGTATGGGTCAGAACGGTTAATTTGCCGTTATACGTATCAATTACAAATGTTTCTTTCAACAGTGAGCTTACATTTTTTTCATACCTAATTAAATGATTTCTTATCATATTTTAGTCATTTATTTTGATATATTGGTAAAACTTCTTATGTATTCCTTAATTCCTGTATATAAGACATCCTAATAATAATATTATTAGTGATTTTGTATGTAATTATCGTCAGCTTTATCCGGATTTGTTAAGTGAAGCATAAGTTTCTAGCTGCGGTAAACATCGGTCCGTGATCTTCCCGCTACCTAACAATGTTCACACAAATTTAACCTGAGACTTGATAAGTTTGTTATATAAGCTGTAATTACTTTGCACAGCGTTCCCTAGCGTGCTCTATCAATTTAGTTATTGACGTCTCGATACTATTACGCCATCCATCAAATGTGGAAGTGGGTGTTGAAATATCCTTGCTGCTTCGTCTACATACTGAAAAGAGTACAATGCATTCAATAATCGACTTCAATATTATGGTTTAAATAATATTTACCCGCTTAAAGTGAAAAAGCGAAAGTTTATGAATGATATATTTGAATAAATTTTCGAGCTCAGATATTAAAAAATATTAAACTGATTTCTTAAATTATTATAATTACATGGCATAGGTATGTATGTACGTATCTGAATTGTTTTATTTAATTGACTTAGAATATCACTGACGGAACGAAGACACAAAATATTTAAACTAATGCTTGCTTAATTAACGTGGCAATAGAAATAATTAAATAAATTGTTATTACAATAGAAGTGGCCTAATTTCGTTTAATCTTCCATCGCTGTAATAATCTATTTCAAAATGCGTTATAAAATTATTTAAAATTAATGAAGGAATTTCGATTATGACATATGAAAAACATGCCTTATAAATGAATAAAAGATGTGCAATAATAAAAATTCGGTCAGTGATCTTACAGCCGATATTAAAAATTTATAGAGCAAGCCATGACAAATTGATGGAAAGTAATAAAAAATAGTTCCACTGGGAAATCTTAGTACTGTAATGAAACCTGCAATGAATTCATTATGAGATATAAGGAAGCATGATGTAATGTAGCATATTATGTATTTTATAACACACTTGTATGAACATAATATTTATAATTAAATTTTAGTCTCTCACTTATAATAGAAACAAAGTTAAATAAAACCACCTACATGGAATATCAGATAGATCAATTTATATTCATGTATTGGTAACGAAACTTTTATTTTGGTGTACAGTTTATAAATAAAGAATTGATGATACTTTTTCAATGAAGGCTATTTTTAATTAAAAATGTAATGGAACACAAATATAAAAAAAAATTGTATACTATGTAGTTTATACAATGAGTGTATTTGCGTCAAAAGCAAGTGGTGCACTCATCACTCAACTGAGATTAAACTCTTCTATACAGCTGAGAATAACTGATTGAAAGGGATCGCACCATCTTGCAATTTATCCAACCATGGATAAAACATGAATAAATTTATATTACACTCTAAAAAAGCATCTTCAATATGTCGCCAATTTGATATATAATGTCTCCATTCATAGCCAATGGATCAACTGGACAATAGCATTTTAAACTAATTATATTAGTCTATTTGTATACCGCGAACCGTGGATCACGTCAGGCTTAAACAAACATACAAAAGGGATTACACCGTTGCTCTAATTGTCACTGATATTTAGCAAAAACCACCCCCTTGTTTCGTGTTGATGCATTTTGATTAAGGGTTTGATTAATCCATTTTAAGCTGATATCGCTGGCATAGCAAAATGTGTTTTCACTGCCGTTATATCTTAATAAGGCTTTCCGTTAAGCCTATGGAAAATACCAAATAAAATACGTTTATTTTA